GATCCAGTCACTGTACACAAGAGTTGAAGCTCTGAGCAAAGGACACACACTCCAAACCTAAAGCTCAAGGTGGCCACATGGTGGTGTTGCATTTCCTTGTATTTCATTTTTTAAGAAGGAAGAAAGGCAGGGCTCTTAGGCTAAAAGTAAGTAGAATAGTTTGCAATGAATTGGATACTTCAGAAAACTGCCAAAGCAGGAGAAGTCACATACCCAGGCCAACCGTTCAGACATAACCACTATGACATTTTGATGAATTCCTTGGTCTCTACTATGTATATTTAGCACATTCAAGATGCTATCATACATAGATTCTATATTTCACTTTTTGTTAAATTTATTTAACTTATTTAAATAAGTTTGTATCATGTTACTATCAGTTAAGGATCCCTCTGAAAATGCTTAGGGCCTAAATGTTTCAGATTTCAGAGTTTTCCAAATTTTAGACTACTTGAATACACATTAGAAGTTGAGTATCCCTAATCCCAAACCCAAAGTCTGAAAGGCTCTGAACCTGAAACTCTGGGGCACTAAAACAATGCTCAAAAAGTGTTAGATTTTGGAATATTCAGATTTGGGGTTTGGGAATTAGGGAATACTTCAGCTGTATTTTTTTTTTTTACTCTAGTAACTATAAAATATTCCAATATATAATGTATATGCTTATACCTATATGTGTATATATATAATACACTTGAACTTATACTTACATAGTCTTAAATTTTTTCCCTGAATCCTTGCTATTGAAAGAAATAGTTCATGGCTGTGACTTTAAAGAGGTGGAAAGGGGACAGGGGGGAACATAGCAGAGAAACATCTTTGTGGTGATGGAAATATTCTGCATCCTGACTGTGGTAATTACACAAACCTACACACACATGAAGGTGGCAGAAAAGTGTGTGTGCACATGGACACACACAAAAGTGTGTGAAAAACTAATGAAATGTGTTAGAGGTCTGGGCACTACACCAATGTCACTTTCCTGGCACTGATACTTTCCTTCAGGTTGATAATCTTTATCCAAAATGCATAGAGCTAGTTGTGTTTTAGATTTGTTTATTTTTTCAGATTTTAGTAAGCTGAATGTATAAAATAAGATACATTTATGTTTCATATACACCTTAGCAATATAGCCCAAATACAATTTTATACCATTATTTTAACAATTACAATTATTTTCAATAATTTTGAATATGAAAAAAAAAAAAGTTTCCTGAGGTTTCCACAGGCAGCATCAGGCCAGAGCTCAGAAAGTTAGACTGTGAAGCTCTTTGGATATCAGATTTTCAGAGTGAGGATGCTCAACTTGTATTAGTTTCACAAGATGCCATCACTGGGTGAAGGGTACACGGGACCTTTCTGTATTGTTGTTACTACTTACTAATAACCTATAATTATTTCAAACTAAAACTAACAATTTCAATTAAAAAATAACCAACAGGTATGAATAAGACCCAATACCTCTCATCAAGTCCCATTCCATGAAAAGCAACAAATTACTTTTGCACCAGCAAAACAAGCATTACTTGGCATTTTACAAAACTCAGAATAGAAAATATAAAGTTCATACCTTTGGGTTAAGCTTTGTAAGGTCATATCTCTTTTCTGAAAGGTTTAATACCTGCAAAGGGGAGGAAAAGCTTTTAGATGAATCATCAATTCCAGAGACAAAAGCAGAAAACACAAGTGCACTTCACACAGTGCCTTTGAAGTATCAAAGATTGTCAAAAATTGAAAAGTACAGATGTGTATGTGGTCATGAACAAAACACAAAATAAGCAAGATAAGCACAGCATATCTGAATCCTTCTAAATCCCTACCTAAATCCTATGGTTTACTTAAACTAGCACTAAAACAGGCAATTTACCATGTTATTTTTTTTTAAATTCTAATAACCACAAAATACTTCAATATATAGAACATATACCAATATCTACATATAGACAGTTATATAGCACAGCTCTCCTGCTCTTGCTCTGGACTGCAGCCTTGCTCAGAAGACAGGAGGCACTGTGGGGAGAGCAGTCTCTCCTCTGCATTATGAGGATGACCCAAGCATGAGAAGCCCTGAGTTCTGGACTGGCCATGAGACTCCACCCAAAAGTACACTGAAAAATCAGAGCAATTTGTGGAATCTTGCTAAATACCAAGTGAAGCAAAATGGTAAAAAGAATATTCCAGCAAAGAGGGGGCCTCAATAGTAACTAAACACTCCTTTCACTTTGGAGATGAGGTCCGAGGGAAGCAGAAAGGAGGGGCCTGTCCAGGTCAACCCTCCCATATGGTAAGGGTCACCTTTGCAGTGATTTAGTGTGCATGGTTCATTCTTAACCCCCTCTTCAAGTACCTCCTGGTTCTACTCAGTATTGGTTCCATCTCAGCCCTGTGAGAATCATGAGGGACACAGCTTCCCCTCCTTGGAAGGCCCACAACACCATGGACATTCTTCATAAATGATTTGTTGAGTTCAGGAACTATTTTGTTTTAAAATCTAATCATCAGATGAATATGGATAAGGAGATGAACCCTGCCCTCTGGACCTTAACTTAGGGTCTGCACAATACCTAACACCTGTGATACACACAGGCGAATCTTCAAATTCTTCAAAAAGGTATTTATCTCATTGCAAGTAACAGACACCCACCCACCCCCGCCAGTCTCCTTGGGGAGCTCTGCCCTGAAAAGCCTCACACAGTGACAGGGGAAGAATGGATCCCAAACTCAGCCAACAGCCATCCAGGGCCTGGGCTTTTACATCTTCTATTTGGAGAGGGGAGGACTTTCTATGCTGGGGAGGAGGGAGAAACCACAGAAGAAAGGGCTTGAGCTAGCATGATCAGTCTGGGTTGCAGCTTACCAAGGAGGAAGCCAAGGTTCTACAGAGACCACCTCTGTGATAACAGAAGCAGCCTGGAAAGGAGGAAGTCCTGACATGAGGTGCAGCCACCTTGGGGACTTGGATGCCCCTTCCTTGCCCTTTCCCTGTCCACTTACTTCCCTGTCTGAGCAGGTCATAGCTAGGACAGAATTCAGGGGAGAAAGGCTGGGGGGGAGGGGGGTATTAGAGAATCAAGTTGCTAGAAGGGATCCAGCCCATTCCTAGAGAGGAGATAGTTCTAGAAGCCGTGGGAAGGTGAGCCAGGCTGCTCTGAGTGGACAGAGGCAACGTCCTCTCTGTGGCATAAGTTCACCTCTTTAGCCCAAGCCTAGTCACAGAGGAGAAAACTGATAAGGGTGATCATAACCCGTTGCTGGCTACAGTAAGATTAGCTTTACAGTAAGTAGATAAGGCGGCAAGTTAAGAGAAGGTGCTCGCGGGCTGTAATTTAATCCCAATAGCGATTCCAACAGCAGAAGGAAGAGAGAGTCCACGTGGGCTAGCAACCCTGGGAACAGATAACAAGGGGCCATCAGAAGGAAGAAGATGGCTGAGAAACTGTTCTTCCCAAATCTGGGCTCCCTCCCCCAATATCAGGCATGGGTTTTGAAATCGAGTCATCTGCTAGCCCCAGGAAAGATCTTTTGTGAACACCTGCCCTAACGCCTTCCTAGTACACTGGAGGAGAGCCACAAACAGGGTTGCTTTTTGATATCAGGGATTGCTCATGAAACCAGCCGGAGAGTGCTGGCTGAGGGATGTCCTGTGGCACTGGGGAGCCGAATCACTAATGAGACAGCACCCTCAGTGTGGGACAGAGGTGGCGGCTGTCGCTCAAGAGCCCATGACTGCTGCCTGTGTGGGAGATAATACTTCCCCAAAGCAAGCCACAGATGGGCAAAGTGCAGGACCACGCTGCTGCACTGGCCATGTGAGTTGGGCCCTGAGCCTGGTCCTCTATCAAAAATGGGGGCACCTGTGAGCACCCGCTCCTCACATAGTGCCCACTGTAGGACCGGTGCCCACTCCTCCCTCCAACAACACACCATGGACACAGAAAACCCTGCCTGCTTACCAGATAGTTGTCCCCATGCTTGGACTTGAGCATACGCGTGACCTCCTGCAGGTTGAGCAGATAAGACTCTTCGGAGCAGCCAGCAGGGAAGGACACAGCAATGATGCGCTCTGTGATGTAGGTAAGGTCCAGCTCATGACCATCCTCCATGGTGGGGCTTAGGGCTGCGAGCCTGCTGGGAGAGAAGAAGGAACAGTAAGCAAATGGGAAGAGGGAAAGAGGACCAACACTCACCCTCTCGCGTTTCTGCAGGAGAACTGGAACAGCAGGCATCCTGGGAATCTGACACATTTCTCCACTCACAGGAGCATACGGGTTCTAAAATCCCCTGCAGGGCATGACTGAGTTGATAATTCCCTGCAGGGCATGACTGGGGTTGATACAAGGTATTAGCAGGAAATAAGCAGAGAAGTTCAGAGCAACAGCACAGGGGCTTGTAGAGAAAGCATACTGGGCAAGAGGGTGTGGGGACAGGCAGACTGGATCCTTGGAGAGAGAGAGCCTCAAACCTCCTGTGAGACATCAGGAGGGCCAGCACAAGGCAGCTAGAGGAAGAGCATTTCAGACAGCAAGGATGGTACGGGCACAGCCGGGGCTGTCAACAGCAGTAAGCAGCCCCTATCTGCCTGTAGCCTCCCAGAAGACATATGGCCAGAGAAGAGGCTAGTGAGGTGGATGGGCTAGATCATGGAGGTTATGATGAGCCAGGGAGGGGAGGAACCAGACCGGATCATCGTGAGAGAAGATCCAAGCAGGAGTTTTAGTAGTCACATAATCAAAGTGTTTTCCTCTATTACGTAGCAGTTCCTTGGCTTCTATTAGACTGGGTATCTGTTCTATTTAGGCTCTGCTAAGACCCAGGGGGTTACCTGTGTGCAGAGTACAGGTGGCTAAGACAGGTGTCCAGGTATGATGAAATCAAGTGGAGGAGAGAGGTGCACAGAAATAGCAAAGTAAAATCCAGCAAGCTGGACTTGAGGACATGGGCAGGGCTGGCTGTGTAAGGACCCAGGAGCCCAAGATGACTCTAGAGACAAGGGCTTCCTGACGCACTTTTTCACTCATGAAGAGCCCCTAATGACATTAGGACTAAGGGTGGTGCCCAGGAGAGATGGCACTGGGTCAAACCCAAGAAGTGACACTAGGATATGAAACCAGAGTAGGGTCACAGTATGTCATGGGAAATGTGTTCTGGTCACGGAGAGGTTCCCACCAGTATCGCATTGTTACTGCTGCTGTTATTTCTTTCCCACTCCTGCTACATGTCTCTTTCTGAAAAATTCAAAAACAAAAAACTTGTTTCGCAAGCCTTCACAGATCACCCAACTTTATAATTATCAACACAGGGCCTGGCAAGGGCCAGACACTGCCTGACAATATCCCAGGGGCGTCTTCTACCATTTATTGTCCTGTAGCAGTCTCAGATATTAATTTCCCTTAAAAATCCTATAGTAATAATTGCTAAGAGACAAGAGCACTCCTTCATTAAAATGCAATGCCATTATCACACCTAAAAAAGATAGCATAACATCAAATATCCAAAATCATAAATTTGTTCTTTAGAACTGATGTGTGCAAATTGGTACCCAAACGCTTCTCAAGAGCTTTTTAGTTTCCTCTACCTTATTCATCTGATATAGATGCTAAATGTCTGGATTATTTTTCAGAATCAAATCTGATTTTCTTGAACTCTGATTTCTGAAACCAACAAACAAAAAAATAAAATGATGTGCCTCCTGGGGCCATCAGGATTTACAGAGAGGGATTTTTCCTAAGAATTTGTGGATCACAGGCCAGTGGTAGCCTTGGGGCACCTACTTGAAAGGAGCTGTCCTTCAGTGCATTCTAATCAACTCTGGAACCCACGGTAGGAGTTAGGCTATGTGCAGTCAGGTTACAGCAATCACATTCTCTATTGGAAAACAATCATAGTCCAAGAGCAAGCCTGAGACCCCAAGCTACTAGGGAGGCTAAAGCAGGAGGATGGCAAGTTCGAG